CCCCCCCCCCGGTAAAAAAAAGTCACTCACCGTAGCGTCTGCGGTCTTCTTGGCCGTGTCCGCCGCACTATTGGCGGCCTCTGTTGCCGCATCCGTCACCTTTTCCGGCACCTTCTTCAACTTCTCGACGAGGATGGCGGCAAGAGACGGAGGAAAACAAACAGCAAAAACCAAGGAAATCATGGCACGCGAAAAAAGATCAAGAAAATAGAGGGGCGGTTCTGGATATGATGCAAAATTAACCCGGCAATATCAGTGAGATGTACTCGGCAATGATAGCCCAGGAAGAGACATTCCCTCAGTGAACTCCCGGGTGGGCTAGGCATGGAGGACGGACTGCGACAACGAATCGTGTTGCGCCAACCCCGGAACCCACCCGACCGCAAGAAGGCTGCCCCTTACGCCGACGCACGTCTTGGCCCACCTCCCTCACGGTAGCTGCTTCTCCGTTCTGCCGTTCACAACCTCTTCTTTGCTCAATCTTTCCTACTCCTCCCCGTCTTGGAACGGTTCACAAAAAGCAACGATAGTCGACTCCCCTACGTCCCTCCTGACACTGCCTCCCTCAACCGCACTCCTCGACGTCTATCGTCTTCACTCCGCTACCTGCCACCAACGATACAACCTTAACCTTTCCCACGAAAAATTTCCTGCGGCAATCATGCGTCACTCCGTATGTTTCTTGCAACCCCATCTTCCTTCACCATAACGCCTTACGTTCCAACGCGTTCACTCCTTTTCCCTCACCTCTCCCAGAGCGGCCTCGCCGGCTTTTGCGGCCTCCTTCTGCAGGTTCTTGGGCGCGGCCTTGATGTCCGCGATAATGGAGTCGACCTTCGCTTTGGCATCGTCCTGGGCAGACTTCACCGCTGCCTGCCGGTTCGGTCATCGAACACCGAACCACACGTTTCACGGTAAAAAAACGTGTGGTTCGGTAAAAAAAAAAATGGGGGTGGTTCTCGTGCGATCAACGTAGGGCCGAGGTAATCTCACTCCTGGTTGATTCGGTGTTTGGTTGGCGTTTTGCTGTCAAATGAATGATGCACAGGTGATGACACGTTTTTTTTTTTCTACAAGTAGTGCAGACACCCAAATACGTGTAATCGAAACACGAACCCCGTGCACAGCTTCCGTCTGTATCTCAGTGGGACAGTAGAGTGTTTTCGGTGTGTTTCACTCAAAAGCCTGACGAGATGTCCGCTGCGGTTTCAGAGTAGAGTCTAAAACTGCTCGTTGATGGGACATTTTCAACTTTCAACGCAGGCACATCGCGTGGCGCACAGCAGCAGCATATGGCGGTTGCTCGTGATCCTCCCCCATGTGCCTGTGTCCTCGTTACTTTTGTTAGGGCAAAGTCAACGAATCGATCGCACCTTGGTGGCACCCGCGATCGTCTCGGGGATGCTCTTGATATAGGCCACCAGGTCGTCCGCCTTCTGCTTCGCCGCCGCCTGAGCGTTGTCCGGGACGGCCTTGATGCTCGCCACGGTTTCATCCACCTGCGGGAGCAGGGTTGAGTTAATCGTGTGGCGTTCGCGTACACATGGTCGTCACGGGACATGGGTGACGACGGTAAATTAAGCAGCGACAAGAACCACAACAACAGCACCAAAACAACGCGCCCAGTTGAGCTTAGGGCCACTTCGGTGCACGTCTCGGCAAGCCTCTTGAGGAAAGAGGCCATGACAAATACATAAAAAAGCATCAAAGCAGTTTCACTCTGGTACATAGACACGAACGAAAGGGGCTTTTGGGGGGGGGGGGGGGGGGGGGGGGTTACGCGGGGGAATCGCAGACAAACCGAAACCTGCACCAGACACGCATCGATACAGAGACAAACACGAGGGTAAAACGACTGAAGGAGACAGCGATGAGTCTCTTACGGCTGTCCCGTGCTGCGTACTACAATATGTGTTGTCTCCGCACTATAAAAAGAGTTGGGTAAATGAGAACGATCCCTTCTCCGAAAATCGCGACGCGACAACCAACAGCTTTGGTTACGCGTCGCTGGGGTAGGGGTCGTTTTCGAACGAGACACTCACACGTCCCCAATAGCATCCATTCGAGCCAACCCCGACCCGACCAACCATGGAAGCTAGTGCTGCTGAACGCTATCTTCCTTTGCCTGGTACAACACGGTACCTTCTTAGTTGCGGATGACTTCGCGTTGTCCACGGCTGACGAGGCCGCCTCTTTCAAGGACGCCAGCAGCCATGCCACGAACCCTCCGATAACCCGGCGGGTGTTTTCCCCCACCACACCGTCCTATATGCGTCGGCATTGAGATGGAGACAGAGTCATACGAAGAGAACTTAGTCAAAACACTGCAGCACATCATTGGCTCACTGGCCAGAGGTCATCCAAACTTCCCTGTCATCGTGACCACAGCAACTGCTGCTCGCTCGTCCGGCAGTGTTACCGCCAACAACGAAGCACGGGCAACACCACCGCCAGCATCGTAAGCAACACCATCGCTTCCCATAGGTCGCAACACACCATTGCGGAGAGGGGGGGGCGGGGGCTACTCGAAAGTTCTACCGGTAGTGTCCAGGAAATCAACAGTACACTGGTAAAGAATAGCGCACAGCTGGCTGTCCAACGTCTTCACCCACTAGAGCAGCAGTCCTGCATCATGAATACGATCGATGACACCCCCCCCTCCCCCGCCCCCCCTACGGACCTCCCATCAGCGCACTCACCGTCGTGGCTGCAGCGTAGCCGAGCCCCCCAAGGGCCACCGCGCCCACAGGGGGTGCCCACGGGGCATCCCCTCCCGCAAACGCCCCATCTCCCAGCCCTCCGGCGACGAGGCCCACCGTCGCGGTCGCCCCGGCCACCATGAGGGCGTCCATCTTCTCCTTCGCGGCGACCTGTGCCTTGGCCTGGGCAGCCTGGCGCAACGTCTCCGCCTGGAGCGTTCGTTCGTTCGTTCCCTCGATCGTTAGCGCCGGTTCACGCGCGTGTCGGGCGTCGATAAACCGATACCCATTGCTATGTGTTACTGTGACACAAGAGCACCTCATGGGTATCCCGATGGAGAGAGAGAGAAAAGGAAGCTTGCTACCAAAATCAACCGCGTAAGAAACAACACACGTCGACGACTGGTCGGTCATGGTAAAGAGAAAAAACAACTTTTAACACACAATGAAGTATACATGAGATACATCGCATAACCGCCTGACCGATCCGAGCATTCCTACAACTAGATGCCGCTGCAGAGCTACACGGAACGAGCACAAGTGTCGGGTTGGCGTGGTGGGACCGACCCTGTTTCGGCCCTTCTTCCCTCGGAGTAAAATATTTACCTGCCGTTGTTCTGCCGCCTCTAGTTCCACCGCCTCCTTTTCTTTCACGAGCTTCTCCAAGTCAGATTTGGCGATTTCACCTTTGCAGACAACAAGCAAGGGATGGAAAAAGATACAGAAGAAAAAAACTTGTTGCTAAATAGGGGTCCTTGTAAACAGCGTCCATGGACATCGATACGCATGCATCATCGGTCGTGATTAAGCCAACCACGGCACATCCATTCACGCGGCCAGCGACACCGTTCAGAGGCGAGGTGGGTTATCTCTCTAAACGGCACATCCATCAAGTCTGACATGTCCACACTCCCACTGTGGGGGGGGGGGGGTACTCATAGTCGTGCATGCCGTAGTCGTTAGACCATCGACCTCGCATCCCTACAGAGCCGGGACGGAGCACGCCGGGTTCTCACCGGACCAGGCTCTCACATCACCAAGCGCGAAATGCCGTGAAATATTCGGCGAGTCGCATCAAGGGTGCGCTGCATCCTGCTAAGGGTGTTTGGCATCTTGTGCTTACTTCCTTGCGTACGGATGACAGCTGCGTATGACTTGATTCATTTTCTGGTGCTTTCACTTCCAGAAACAGTTGTAAGCACTGTGTACTGCCTCGAGGGTGCTTGACCAATTCAACACAACANAGCACGCCGGGTTCTCACCGGACCAGGCTCTCACATCACCAAGCGCGAAATGCCGTGAAATATTCGGCGAGTCGCATCAAGGGTGCGCTGCATCCTGCTAAGGGTGTTTGGCATCTTGTGCTTACTTCCTTGCGTACGGATGACAGCTGCGTATGACTTGATTCATTTTCTGGTGCTTTCACTTCCAGAAACAGTTGTAAGCACTGTGTACTGCCTCGAGGGTGCTTGACCAATTCAACACAACATGGTGCGATCGTCCCCCTTGCGCGGAGTGAGGCTTCTCCACCCCGCACAACATGATCCACTCGACCACCATTATGGTTACCGCCAAAAAAAAACAGAGGTAAAAAAAACAAAGGAAAAATGGTTGCCGAGTTGACGAAGTGAATTGGCTTGTCTTACAACGTCGTTGCCAAGCGACGAAAACCCAATCCCGATGGCAAACACCGGGGGGGTGGGGGGTGTACTCATAGTCGTGCATGCCGTAGTCGGACCATTGATCTCGCATCCCTACAGCAAAGCCGG